AGGGGGGTCCCCCCCCTTCCGACAGCCGTACGGCAATCGTACACTGCCGTATCACTGATACCCTGATACGGTATCAGGCATCGGAAGCTGCGTTGCTGTCCAAGCCCAAACGTCAGCTGGCCCCCATCGCTTGTCTAGCATGTCATATAACGTTATGCTGGCCGCTTAATACCAGGAGTGAATTTGCAAGGAATTTTTCTAAACCGGGTTTCGACCCCGCATGCCTGCGCTATCCATCCATGTGGCAGACTCGTGAATTGCGCGGGATGCATTACGTAATGTCAAATAGTATGGGATCTTTCAAAAGGGCCGCGTGGTATCCTGCACGTCAGAGCAGCACTCCTGCAATGACGCAGTCCACACTGCAAATGGCAATACTCTGCTTCGCAGGCTTCGCTGTAGCCGTAAAGGCACATACGAGAGACGGTGGCTTCAGACAGGCAACCATTCATTCCTTGGAAATTCCATTCATTTCATTTGTGGCCATGCTGATGCTGAGCATGCGCCACATGCAGCAACCTGAAGCAGTAGTTTTAACAGCCACCTAGCCTGAAACAGATTTCCTTGCAGATGGACGAAAAACCTTCATCTCCCGATATGCATACCCGCATGCATATGCTGCACCCGCTCGCAGCGATCCTTCCCCCCAACGTCCAAAAACGGTCCGCGTTGTGCACTACAGTGAACCGCAACGACCAGAGGACACCCACACACACGCACACACACGCAGTTAAGAAGGACGTTTCTCTCAACAGTCCGGATCGAAACTATGGCCCGACATACCAATTCATACCGCACACATTTCCCTAGTGTTCCGCGGGAATCATCCCTTGGCCCCCTCTTCCGCCCACTCCGGCCCCAGCTTCCCCTCCGTCGTCAGTGCAAGGTCGATCGTCACGGTTCGGACGCTCTCGCATCGGCACTTTGGGGCGGCCGTGGTGGCAGCTGCTGCAACAACAATGGCGGCCGCATCAGAGCCCCTCCGTGCGGCCTCCCCTCCATACACGCAGATCATTGCGTCTTCTTGCTTTCCTCCGCCGATTGTGACTCCTGCCCCTGCACCGCCTTGGCGTCCCCCTCCTTGTCTTCAGGAGCGGCCTCACTGAAGTTGAACACGGCGCGGAACTCGCGCGCCAGCCAAGCGTGGCCCAGTACGGCACCCAGCACGCCTGGCACGATGTAAAGTAATGCTGGCTGGGCGGCCTGCATCAAGGGGCGTTGGTGGAATTTAGATGGGGGCCCCATCCTCAGGTACAAGGAGTAGGAAGGGAAAAGGAGACCACGACATTTGCAACCAGTCGCGCTACAAAATGCTCTCTCATTTGCGTTTGATAGCTGTCAGCGGCGCTTCCTGCAAGTTACTTTTACTCATATTCAGCTCGACGACGACGGCAAACAGTAGATGGCAAACAAACAATGCTGTGAGGACCTCAAGCTGTGAGGAACTAGCAGTGCCAACCGTCCATTAGAACAACATGGTCGTCAACGGTTGCAACGTTTTTAAGTCGGAACCGCTCCCGCGCATCGCGTGCCATGCAAATCGCAGACGCATATTTACCCACTGAGATTTCCCTCCATATCCATGCAGTCCCGGCTGCGGCGCACCTACTGCCTACTCAATACCCGGGCGGGCACACCGACCCACCGACCCAAAGTTCGTTACCCGAACCGACCCACTTGGAAGACGTTCATGACAACGATTGTGGCCACGAGTCCGGCCACGTAGCCGCAAAAAGCAGAACGGAAGTACTTGGACCGGAAGTTGCGTTGAACATCGTACCGCAGGATTAGGGCCACGAAAATGCCTTGCAGCCATTGGTTGCGGGGATTAGGCATCGCGATAAGGGGGATGACAAGTCCATCAACAATTCAACATAGAGTGTGGCCCAATAGATTGCTAGCAGTGAGCTTGCTTGGCTTAACGGAGCTCCTAGCACCATATCAGCGGATGGGTGGCGGCCCGCCCAGAAAGATACATGCCGCACATACATGCTGCCCGAGCTACACGAAAGACGCTGACGGTACATCGCTGCCTGGGTGAGGTCGGAACAAAAACAGCGTGTATGAGGGTGTGGTGCAGCGCGGACAGGCCCTTTCCCAGGCTTCTGTCGTGAGCCCTAAACGACTCCATGTGAGGCTAGATGCTAGAGTTCATGCCCAGAAATGGCGAGGAAGAAGTCCACCTAACAAGGCTGCAAACGGCCGGCAGCACATACACCCACGACCAGCACCACTCCCCTGCTGCAGCAGTTGCAAACCATCTCCCCCCCCATCACATTCTACAATGATCACCTACCTGGGATAACGATGTCCCCAAGCCCCAGCATTGCGAAATGCCGTTTGTCATTCTCCAGCGTGCCGGCACGAGGGAACAGCAGCTTGATAGGTCCATCGAAATTCTTGGCGACCGACACCATCACCGGCGTGCAAAAAACCCAGAATATGTCGTAAAAGAACAGCCCGACTAGCAGAATTGTACCAACTTGCACCGAGCCCAAGCTGAGGTGCTCGATGCCCTCCAGACAGAACGCCAAGCCCAACAAGTTGTTCGCAAACCAATGTTTTTTGGCGTAGTACCAGGCACAGAAGCCCAGGCTAATGGACGCTAAGATCAGCTCAGGAACTGTGGGCCGCATGCTGCCGTCCGAGTTATCGAACACATATGGAACTTTTATCCGCGGGAGAGCCAGCTCATGATGCCGAATGTTCTCTGGAAAGTAGTCCAACAAGTATGGCATGACGGCGGACGTGAGGACGAAGATGGCGATACCCCCCAGGTACAGGGACAGCAGCGCATTCACGAGCCATTTAGGCACGAACTTGAACAGGAGAAACAGGCCAAAAAGGACGCAGCTGCCCACTAAAGGGAAACGCATGGCATCCTTTTTGGTCATGCTCTCCGCTGGTGGAGCTGGTTTGACAGATCTCCATGACCCCGCATAAACTGCCAACGCCGCCGTCGCGATGATGTTGAAGTTGGTGGGAACATTGATAACGAGAGGAGCTAGGCTAAGGCCTAAGAGTAGCAGGTGAGCCGTCAGTGCCGGTCTGTCACTAGCATAGATTGCTGCATGTGAGGAGGTCGGCTTCGCGTCGGCCATGATCAGCCTCCTCTAAAAGCGCGTTGAGCGCTCGTCTATTGCAGTGATGTTTACCGTTAACAACGTCTGCACATTATGGAATAACTCCTCAACAGGGCACGTACGTGCCAATATAACTGCTACAGCGCCGCACGACAGCCGTACTGCCCTGATTTTTGCCCAGTGGCCTATCAACTGAAACCCCACAGCTCTTTACTCCACATGGACATATATTACGGCAACTTGTGGCTGTGGCTCTCCGATAGGCTGCATGATGGCTACGGTACGCGACGTGGTGCTGTTCTACAGCTGCCCTCCGGCCTGAGTACCGTTTAGCACTCCACCCGTACACCCCTTTCAACTTACTTAGTCATATTCATCCCTCATCTTACCCTATCAGCTTGTGGCTTAGACGTCTACATTTTAAATAACTGACGTGAAGACTTCTGTACTCTCTCAGACTCGTAGTGACTGTTTGAAACGTGTCATTCGGGCAGCGTGGGTGAACAGCGACCCATCATATCCGGGCAAGCTCGGGCCCACCTTGACATCGATCTCGAAGTGAAGAGCTCGCATGTGGATGAACCGCTTGCCGTCAAACCGTGCAGGCCGAACAGATACGGCTTGCTTACGCACTCAGTATCATTGTCCGCTTGACAGCCCGTTTCGGCCGCCGGCCAGCCGATACCGCTGCGCAAATTCCCACAGGCGCGCCGTCTTTTCGTACTTTCAAGCTTGCTACTGCTTCTGCATCTGCCGCTACTGTGCTGCTATTGCTGTTGCCGAAAACGGTATATAGAGTTGAAATGTGGTTGAATTCATTGGCGACTGTGATCCCTGACCTGACACGCCATGACCCTTACGTAGACAGGAGCTACAGCTATGGCAGAGCTACAGCTGAGCTACAAGTGTTACAAAGGTCCGCTCAAGTGCGGGGTCGTCCGTGCGGGGGCGCCTGAGCGGCCCCCGTGGGCGCTTGGTTGTCATTATTGTGGCGCCGAGTGAGCAAGGACGTTGTAGCCATCCTTGAGACACAGCTGAAGCGCAGCGTTCTGATTTGTCGACGGCGACACGAACCGTCAGCATGCATTAAGACGCAGCCATATTCATGTCATTCCGGCATCACGCGATAGCCACGTCCCTCTCGCCCCAGCAGGGCCCAGCAGCGCTTGCAAGTACGTTCGTAAAAGGAAGACCATCTCCAGCAGTCATCTATGCCAGGTCCCTCTGTGCCTCACAGCCTGCTCCCTCCCTCGCAGCGACGCACGAGCCACTGCACAGTACCAAAGGCCCCCCGTCCGCAATTTTCCTCCAACATTTTGCCTTGATCCTGGCGTATTGCTTTAACCTGCACAAGACGATAAAAGCCGCCACCGAGCCTCCATGGGAAGCAGCGCGTCTGCCTACGCTCTTTTGCCCCGGCCATGCTCGGCAATCCAGCAGAAAGCAGCGCCCCTGCGCTCCAGCGCTACTGCTCTCCCATATCACTAGGACCCAATCCTCTATCCTGGCCGTTTGTAACTTCTACATGCACACATACAGACGAGGGTGTTTTTGCAGGAGTAGTGTGCCCATGACGGAGTGGTGATCTGAGGTGAGGAGCTGCCACGGGTGAGCCATAGCCCCACCAGGCAAGCTCCCGCCCTTGACATCTTGCCCCGCCTGCCTGACCCGTACAAGTCCCCCCGCGGACTGAAACGTCCCCCTGGTGCGGTCTGGATGAGCGGGGCCTGACACGGCTTTGCGTGGTGGCTTGGGTTTTGCTGGGTAGTTCGTTGAGGAGGGGCGTATTGTGGACAGTTTTGGTTGTAGGGTGCAGCTTCTGGGCTTAAGGCGCCGGTATGGCAGCATCTCACGGGGGGGCCCCGCCCAAGTGTGCAAGGACCCCGGGTGTGGCGCCGCGCCTGCTCAACTGTGCCGCAGCACGTGCCGAGGTTGTTTGCTTGAGGGCCTTGGTAGCCACCGCGCTCTCTTTCCTCTTCACAAAAGGGGGAAATGCGGGGTTGCACGCCCTCGGTCGAGCAGGAGGGGATAGTGGCCCCTCGCGCCCCTCTCCCCCCACAAGGAGGAGAGTGCTTCGGCGGTCGTTCCCGCTGGGGTACGGTTAGGTGCCCCTGGCCAGTGTCACGCCCGGATCAAAATGTAACAAATACACGTACGTACGTACACACATACATACATACTTTGCCCTAGATGAGACTTGTGGACTCGCTCTAGCGGGACCTGAGAGCCCTTCGTGGTGTTTATACTGCAGCGCCATCCCCGGATGGAGGGGCTGCGGAGTGGCTGCGTAGAGTGTTGGCAGCCTGAGTCGGGGTTTGGGAGCACACAAGACTAACCGACTTGTGCTGTGTGCTCCCGACCCTTGCGCTGTGTTTCGGCGTCGGCCCCCGGCTCTCGCGGCCCACAGTGTAATCTAAGTCATACATACATAGATACATACATACATCGTGTGTTGGCAGCCTGAGTCGGGGTTTGGGAGCACACAAGACTAGCCGACTTGTGCTGTGTGCTCCCGACCCTTGCACTGTGTTTCGGCTGCGGCCCCCGGCTCTCGCGGCCCACAGTGTAATCTTCTAAGTCATACATGCACGCGCGCATACATACATGCTGTCAGCTTCCCATTAGATACAACACAAACACGATCTGTCAGACTTCCAGGTTTCTCCCAGTAACTGCAAAAGCTAAAACACCTCTCCTTTCCTTGGTCTGCTCGCTGCGAGCCCCAACATCATCGCGACGCATCCACAGAAGGAGCCCCTTGCTCTATTCCCGTACAAAATATTTACTCATGTTTGCTTGCCTGTCTGTCTATCTGTATATCTACCTGCTGCCATCATTTAGGTTCTATGCAGGGTTTTCCCCGTACGCTTCACTTAACACATTCAGAAGCACACACATAATATGCACGCGCGCATACACGTATAATATTCAGGTAGGAGTGTGCTGGTATACCAGCCCGGTGTGTAAACCAAAAGGAAAAGAAACGCTGCCAAGCATGACGGGCTATCCCCTTACACCACTAAACCCGTGCTGTGCAGCACCCGCGTACAAAACCCCTCTGCACCTCCATGCAGCTCTGTCCCCAGTCACCGCCCTCCTAGCTCACATCTCCTTACAGCCCCCCCACACAAACTCCGGGCCCCCACAAACTCCCTGCCACAGCGTCTTCAATAAACTGCATCCTCCAAATCCAATATCCCCTTGCCGCTGCCCGGGCCCTCCTCCCCCAGCCCACTTGGCACCCTGCCGCCCCAGCTCCTCGTGCACCAGGCCATGACGGCGGAGGCGCCCATCACCGCACCAAGCACTCGGAACGCGTCGCCGTAGCCTGCAGGTGGGGGGCAGAGTGCCGTGTAGCCGGGGCCAGGGTGGGGCGGAGTGGCGGGTGGGGTGGGGCCAGCGTGGGGTGGCGGAGTGGCGGGTGGGGTGGGGCCAGGGTGGGGCGGAGTGAGCTCGGCGGGTCAAGGAGTGGCGGCCGGGAAGTCACTGCAGAAGTCACGGAGCAGTCCCCCAAACCGCACCATCTGGCGCTCGTGTGCGTTCCCGCGTGGCCCTCCTCACCTCCCGTCCTCGCCACGAGCTCCCCGATCAGCCAGGGCCCTAGCAGCCCACCTAGGTTGGCCACAGCATTGTACAACGCCATGGCCACTGGCACGGAGGGCCCCACAGCCACTACGGGCACGTAGCTGTTGATGATGCTGTTGGTGCCCTGCAGGGGAGAAGGAGAGAAGGGGAAGGGAAATGTGTATGATCCACAAAAGCCACAAGGAAACGATTGCCCACTGACGCCCAAAGCACCAATTGGAGGAGTAGTGGGGAGGCGTGGCCGGCGGGGTGGAAGGTAAAGAGTGGTTAACTCAGAGGGGGCGAAAGAAGAGCGGGTGGCACAGGTAATGGACGGAGGTGCAGATGGGCGAGGGAAGTGCAGATGGTCTGGGCGCCTGTGCTCTAAGATTGGTTTTTGTTTTGCACGAATTGTTTTATGTTTGTTGGGTGGACGGCGGGAAGGCAGGCGGGAAGGACGCATCCACCCGGGGTCGCGCTCGCCTGCACGCACGCCACCGCCGCAGACACGGCCAAGAAGCCCAGCGCCGGCGCCGTGGCCGCCAGCCGCGGCAGCGAAGCCAGCAGCAACGACGCTGCCAAGTACGGCACCGCCAGGTGTAGCGCTCGCTCGTGTTTGGCCTGCCGGGGTTGCGGGCGGGTTGTTGTAATTGTAATTGTTGTTGTTTGGCGGTAAAGGAGGAGGGGAGAGCGGACCATCGCGGCAAACACCCCGAAGCGCCCTCCCCGTGTAGAGGTGCCTCACTTGTGATCTTCGCCCCAGCCACAGCGACATGACCGCAGCGCAGGCGAAAGGGATGCCCGTCAGCAGAACCGCTGTCATGGACAGCCGCGACGTGCCGTCGCCGTCGACGTCATCCTGGCCGCCGCCGCCACCGCCGCCGCTGCCCTCCACGCCGTACGGCCTCGTTGACGCCGCCGCTGCCACCAGGTCCCCGCCGCGGTGCCGGGACCAGTCAAGCTGTACGGGGTCCAGGTCCCTCCGCTCCAAAAGGGCCTTATTTATAATGGGGGCCTGAGATGGACGAGGAGAGGGAGGGGAAAAGACGAACCACGAGCGAGTGAAGCTGTTGCCAAGGAAAGAGTGAGACGGACGAGGAGAGGGAGGGGAAAAGACAAAGGAGAGCCAACCGCCCAGGGCGACATGAGGTGAGGAACGCGAGGCGCGCTATGCACCGATCATTTTACAGAACGGAGACGTGCTGTATCATGGATATCATCGGCTAGGGATTGATCTTCTAAAATAAACAAATGAAAGAACCTGTTTTACAACAAGGATTGGACTACAGAAGGGAATCAGGAGCAGTATATGGCAATCTGTCGGAATAACCGGAGCCTTAGTTTGCTTGCGGGAGTGAGGAAAGGGTGAAACTCGCCACAAGCCCTGTACAGCATCAGGAAGTTGTCAGTTGTCAGTTGTGAGGTGTGCTGGTGCGGCTGCGGTAGGTTCATCCAGCAGTAGCAGCGGCGGGAGCAGCGACGGCAGCAAAGGTGCTCACCCAGAACAGAATGCCGTTGGCGGCCATGTTCTTGAGGAGCCCCATAAACGCCACATACCTGGGGTCCGTTAGCGGTTGGCAGTTGGGCCGTCCGGGGTTAGTTGTTAGTGGTAAGGACACTGTGAACAGCGTGACGTGTTGCATGTAGGCGAGCGAGGGGGAGGGAGACCCTTTCAAGGAAGGTTCTGTGAACCCCGGAAACAGCGGAAGCAAAACACACACACACACGCCCCAAAACACACGTCACCTCCTTTTCCCCCCCTTGGATGTGTGCCGCTGCCCCTTTCCCCCATAACATATACACACCTTCACCCCACCCATTTTTTCCCCTCGTACGCTCCACCCCCTCCCTCACTCTTTCCCCGCACACCACCAACTGCCCCAACTGATTCCCTGTGCCCACCCCAACCCCCGCCCCTCCACCACACGCACCACACTCGGCCGTTTAGAACTGCATCCACCACCGCTCCACGAACTCCGGCTCCTCCTCCACCACCGCCCCCACTGCCGCCGCCTCCTGGCCGCGGCCCCATCAGCAGCAATCCACCCCCTCCATAACCTCCACCTCCACCATTGCCGCTGCCGCCGCCCTCTTTCGCTCCGGGGCTGACACCCAACCCCAGTCTCAGTCCCCCTCCGCCGCCACCTCCGCTGGCTCCTGCCGTTGCGGAGATCATGGAGGTGGTGGTGGTGGTGGTAGCTGCCATCATTCCGGCCTGCGGGGCCTCCACCCGCTGCACCAGCCAGTGCCGCTCCTGACCCGACAGGAACGTGGCGGCGGCCAAGCTGGGTGGCAGGGAGGAGGCGGTGGTGAGGCCCAGAGCGACTGTGGCGAGGCCCTGTGTGTGGGGAGGATGGGGGGGAAGGACGAGCCACGAAGGAGTGAAGCTGCAGCCAAGAAAAGAGAAGCAGAACTGACCAGTAGGCGGTTTTGAAGGAGCCGACCTCGGGATGATGACGACCGCAGAAACCTACCTACCTTGCCGCCAAGACTAAAACAAGAGCGCAAGGAAAGCAGTAGAGGGGGAGGATGGGGGGGATGGAGTGGGGAGGTGGTAGGGTGAGGTGCGTGGTGGGGATCGGACGGGAAGCTAGGGAAGGGAAGGGAGGGCAGGGGAGGGAGGGAAAGGGAAATGGGTTGGGTGGGGTGGTGGGGGAAAGACAGGTGCGATGGTCCGCGGGCGGGAAAGGAGGTAGGACAAACCACGGACGAGTGAAGCTGCTGATCCCAGAGATAGACGGATACTCTACACAGGACTAGACGACAGATACGCACCGCATCATGAAGTTGTAAGGAGTTAGAGAACAGGTGGCTGGTATGATGGAACAAGGCGGGAACGTAAGGACGTGACGGAAAGTGCGAGGCGTCTCGCCGCCAACTGCCCTCCTTTCCTCCTTCCTCTCCTTTTCCCCCCCAGCCGCCCCAGGTGGTACAGACAGACAGACAAACAGACACACCCGCTGTCCACCAGCCCGCAGGAAGCTCTGCCCCGCCGTTCCCTCTTTCCTGCTCACTCTCGCCTTTCCTCGCCCTGTAAACACACAGACACACGCACACACACAAGCACACGGCCCAGATCCTTTTAAACAATACACGAAGTAAACACACAGTACGTACAAGAAGTAAAGTTGCTCGTGTTGCCCACCCCACCTCGCGCCCTTTTCCTTCCAGCAGCTCTCCGTCCATGTAAACAACCTCAGGAACCGCCACACCCCGCCCACTCCACGCAGCACCCCACTCCGTGCCTCCAACAAGAGAAACGCACCTCCAACAAGAGAAACGCACCTCCAACAAGAACAACCACTGCCATCCCGCCAAGCCCCCGAAGCCCTGCATGAGCAGCAGCAATGCGGCCAGTGGCGCCGAAACCAAATTTGCCGCCGCCACTGCCGCCTCCAGCACCGATAACGGCACCGTCATGTAGTCCACGGGATAGAACAGGTACCTACGTCAGTAGTAGGGGAGGAGGGTTGAGGACGTGGCATGGCATCAGTGCCGGCGGCGCGTGGTGAAAAAGGGAGTATGTATGTATGTATATATAGGATACGGAGAGGCTAGGCCAGCCACTGGTTTGAACGGTATGATGGTAGCTTGGGATGTGAGCGGGGTCGAGGACCCACATTGGATTGCATCAGGCGGGCGTCCGGGACTGGGACTGGGACTGGGGGGCCTCGTCTTGGCAGGTTGCGTTTCGGAACTTCGGGTGACGTCAATGTGCCGTCAGTTCCTCATCACGAAGACCGGCACACCCACACACCATACACTCCCGGGGTGGCAGGGGGTGACTACGGCTGGGACACCCGGGGGAAAACCCCTGATGGAAGCAGTATACGACACGAAACCCGACACGCGCAGACTCGGAGCGGGTGTAAAGGCAGGCAGGAGGGAGAAAAGAAGCTAAAAGGACCCGCTGCCGACGTCAATAGGCAGGCAGGGGGGAGGATCAGCTCGGGGGGGGGGGGGGAGGATATTACCCCTAGAGGCACCACAGCATCCGTTCCTCCTCTTCCTCTTCCTCCTCTTTCATCTCCATCCCCCCTGTTGCGATGTATGCCAGCACTCACAGGTAGTACCACATGCCGGGGAAGGCGCCCGCCTCCACAGCCCCCAGCAGGAAGCGCAACCAGTAGAACTGGGCGGGGTTGCTCACGCCAGCGAACATGGCCGCTACGGCCCCCCAGCAGGTCACCAGCACACCCAGCCAACGGGGGGCACCGACCTGGGTGGTAGCGGGTGGTAATGGATGGGTAGGTGGGTAGTAATTGGTGAGGTGAATTCAATACGATAGGCTGAAGGGGGAGAGAGACGTTGTCAGGCACGGGGTTCGGGAGGGTACGGCAGGGCGGGTGCGGGAGATGGGCGGGCCGAGAGGGAAAGGTGGAGGAAAGGAGGGGGCTGGGGGACGGCCGGTGGGTTAGCATGTGGGGGTGCTGGGGTTGCAAGTCGCCCGGACATGGAGTGGCTGGCGTTCTGAGGGTGGCACTCAGACAGCAGGTAGCCAAGGGCGGGTAGTGGGGTTTACGGTGGGATAAGGGGAAAACGCGTTCTGTTGTGGGTGCTGCTGGGGACTTAGCCCCTGATCCATAAGAGTTGCGCGCCCGTCTCGCGTACCCGCGTCATGATGATGTTTGAGGGCACCATGAAGAGCGAGTAGCCCAAGAAGAAAAGTCCAGAGCCCAAGCCGTACACTGTACTATGCGGAGGAGCAGGAGGCGTGCCGGGTTGAGGAGGGGTTAAAGAGCGAAGGGGCATGAGCAATGCAGTTTGCATCGCGGACAGCTGCGTAATTCCCTGGCGTGTCCTGCCACGCACCCTGAGCGTTGAAGTCCAAATCATGGTTGATTTGAATGGATGCAAATGCCAAATTGGTCCGATCGATGTAGCAAAAAGCCGCTATAAGGCAGAAGAGGGGCAGGATGGTCCAGTTCACTTTACGGTACACAGTCGCTGCGGTAATGCTGGGGGTTATAGTTGAGAGATCGTCGTGAAACATTTTGCTGGAAGTGGAGTCTCACGGTCTGTCCTTGGTTTGTATGTGTTGTTTACAGCCCATATCCGAAATAGTCCTACTAAGGGGTCACTCTCGGCGTCAAGTATTAAGCACCATCATCATCAATGCTCTGGGTAATCTCCACTATCTATGTGCACATTGCAAGACTTTTTTAGACATGTGACGAGCGGTTGCAATCCGCCTCCTAAACTTCGTGATGCATGACATGGCATCGGGTAAACATCTTCTACAGGTCATTTTTATGCGGTTGATATCTATGATGCATGGTTGTCAGGTATTTAAACAGTACAGGCGAAACACGGCCATCGCGATCCCGGATTTCGGTACAATCAGGGAGCTTATACAGTCAACGAGATCATGTAGAAAACCAGGCGGCATTCCCGACACGTGGTGGCATCAATAATTGTCCTGCCGCGCAGACTACACTTCTGCAGTGTCGGCGCTGTAATCCTTGGAAACATGAGCTAACTTCCTTGCACAATTCTCATGCACATTAAAAGGCTTAATGCCTGGGCATCATGCTCACACGATGGGTGAGGCTGCGTGGCTGTAAGCAACGTACTCGGTCGTCATGACCGCACCTTTTACCTCTCACCATGTTAAGATGTCGCTCCTGTGACATGCTTTTAATACAACCCTCGTTTGCCTTTCTTAGGGTTTCTTGCGGTATTCCATACTGCCCCGTACCTCCACCACCTCCCCTGTGCCGTCCATTTTGCAGGGTCCCTGGAGCCAGCCTGGGCGTATGCATGGCGCGCTCTTGTCGGCCCTTTGGTATCATCGGTTGAACCCCTTGTGTGCAGGTAGTGTAAATGACCCAGGCTGGTGTGGCAAGCAGGGCAGGCAGGGGCGAAGGATTGGGTAGCGCCAGAAACGGCCTCGGAAGGGGCAGCAGACCCGGCTAGCATGCTGGGCAGCAGGCGCCCCAGAACTGTCGTCTTCGGGTCACAAACTATGACGGGTCCATGCGGTGCCATCGTGTGAAAGGCGGCAGACGGTGGCCAGACCGCCGGCGCCGTTTGTAGCTTTTATTGCAGGCTGGACCCCCCTTTAGTCGACGCGCTCGTCCAGGAGAAGATGTTACACATCTGTCCTGGTGATGCGCGGTCCCCCTTTCACCCTCTTCCCCGTAAACCTCCTTTCGCAGTAATTGGCAACAATCATGTTTTTGCGTGCGTCGCATCAGATTTTCCGCGATGCAAGTGCCTGCCCTGCCCTGCCCTGCCCACACAGGACCTTACGCCTGTATCGGGGATTGCGCGGTAGGGGCGGGTCCGGGCCTGGGAGGGACCCGCCCCGGGCAGCAGCAGCGGCGGAGGCGGAGGCATCTTTGGCCCCGGCTTCGCCCGGTTCACCAGCAAGCCATGAAACAGGAGGCCTTACGCCGTTGACATTGCTGCCGCCGCCATTGCAACCGCCGGCGGTGTCCCTACCAGCGCCACAGGGGCCGCCGCAGGGGCCGCCACCTCCACCGCCGCATCACCAGGAGCAGCAACGTCGTCTCCAAATCGTGGAGGGCCCATGTCAGCCTACAGCCGCAGGGCTCACGGGCGCTGCCACCGCCTCCGACGGCCATAGCCGCAACTGCACCGTCAGGTCCCGCAGTGCGGCAGTGCCTGCATGCACCGGCCTGAGAACCAGCTTGGTGCTCTGTCCGGCGGTATGGCCTGATGGCTGCGGACGGGCGGGCAGGTGGAAGGGCCCCGGGCACCGCAGCAGAACCCCAAATGCCTGTGTGCTGCCTTCGCTCTTCCTTCGCCAGTACTGTTCGGATGCCCCCGGCTCAGTTGCAGGGGGCAGCAACGGCGATAGTGGCCGTGTGCAGGGCCCGTCCACCGGGAGATGGTCGACGGTGCAGCGCCCGGCGAGGGCCTTGACGGCTGCGGCGGCGGCGATGGCGGAGGCTGCGCTGACCCCGGTGGGATTGGAGTGTCTGACGGCGCTGTACAGGACTCTGGACGCTACCCACGGGGTGAGGAAAGCGTTGCCGCCTCTTAGTTCCGTGATCCTCACCGCCACGCGAAGTGCTAAGTCCGGCAAGCCGCTAGACACGGACCCTGCCGCCGGCACCGGCATCGAAGGCGCAGATGCTGCCACCGCTGCCACTGCGACGGATATTCGTGGCGGCGGCAAGGGTCGTGGCAAAGGTGCGGCTTCGGGGTCAGGGCCGGTGGAAGCGGTACAGCAGCAGCAGCAGCTGCTGCGGGCAGCTGTGGAGGCGATGGTGGGTCCAATCAGCGTGCGGATAGCTCGCGCTCACCCGCACCAGCAGTGCGCCCTGCTGGCACGGTTGGTGGAGGCGGTGTACGGCGCTGTAGGTTCGTCGCCAGTGGAGGCGGTGTGCGGGCTGGCGCAGCAGCTGGCAGCAAGCCCGGAGTTTGCGGACCCCAACCCGCCTGCGGCAGCCGCACAGCTCTCCGGCGCGCTGCCACAACACCACCAACACCAACACCACCAGCACCAACAACAGGCGTTTGAAACCACAGAGCAGCAGTCGCAGCACTTGCAGCCCCAATCAAAGCACCAGCCATATTCGACACAGCCTTCTCCACCGCAGCCCACTCCAGCGCAGTGGGGATTGCCTTTACCGCCGTCGCCGACGTCACCGCAGTTGTCGTGTATTCGTGAGCGGGACCTCATTCACGCGGCCCTGGCGCCCATTGTGTCGGCCCTGCCACCCGCCAGCTTTCCACCGGAGGTGCTGGTATCCCTGCTGCGGCAGAAGCGCAGCCTGCCAGTTGATGATGCCGCCGGCGCAGCGGCTGGGACGGCAAGGGCCCCTGTCCATTCCGAGGCGGTACGGCTCTTCTGCTCCCTGTTACGTGCCGAGTGGCACCATCGGCAGCTGAGTACGCGCCATGAGGGCGGCGGTGGCGGCGGTGGCGCCGTGGAGGCGCTGGTCCTGGGAATGGTGTTGGCGGAGCAGCAGTCGCCGGGACTGCTGTTCGGCCCTGCCTGGCGCGGCGGCTCGTTGGAGCTCAGTGCCGGGCTGCTGGCCACCCTGGAGCAACTAGGCTTCCGGCCGAGCCGCCAGGGCTGCGTGGACTTCCTGGCGCTTTGCCTGAGCGGCTGGCGAGCAGCGCAACCGCCCCAACCGTCGCTGTCACAGTTGCCGGGCCCAACTACCACCGCTACAACTACCCGCTCCGAAACAACCGCACCGGATGTTCCCGCCGCTGACATCACACCAGCAGATGCTGGAAGCTTCTCTAGCCACAGCCTACCTCCAGCTCTTTCTCGTCCTTCTCAGCTTCATCTTTCCATTGGCGGCCTGGGCTTGGGGGGTAGCGGCGTCGCAGCGGCAGCGGCAGCAGATCCGGCACTCGCGCGCGTAGTGGTGCGGGTGCTGCTGCGACTGGGCTATTATGAGCACCTGGCAATGGAGAGGCTGGTGGTGGTGGCGAGCTGCCGCAGGGACGGGACACCGCTGGACGTGGACCGCCTGCGACTGCTGCGGCAGCTACATGAAGGAGGAGCAGAGACTGCGGCCAGCGGGTGGGGGTGGGGGCCTTGGCGCGCGCAGGCGTTTGGGCAAGGCGCCATCTGAATGAAAATCGCATGTGAAGTGTCGTGAAGTAGTCATTAAGAAGGCGTGCCAGTGTTTTTACCTTGCAGAGGTGTGCGGGCTTGCGTACATGATGAGGGTAAGCTGTGGCGTTGAGGGGTGCATGTGGAGGCATGATGGCCGGCGTGCGCGGTCCTCAATGCAACGGGCCTGCAGGAAAACAACACCCACATCACCTCTCTATACTGTAGCGGCCATCCCAAGGTCAAGCCACACCAGCCTTTCGTACCTTTTTTTGCTTCTAAATGTCACGAATGCCACTCCATGTCGCATTTCCTGTCCTGTCTTGTCCTGTTGGCATTCCTCCCACCCGCCTGCGGCTGCTGGTACTGTGCTGCTGCTGCTGCTGCTGCTTGTGTTGCCGCTGCTTGTTCACTGCTGTCTACACGCGGCCCAGGACCAGGACATCGGAGCAGCTGCCGACGGTGTTTCTGGAGGACCTGGTGGCTCTAGGAGTACGGTACGGCTGCAGCGCCTGGTCCGGAGAGCCCCTCTCGCGACCCCCGGAGTCCCCTACGGCCCCCGCAGTCCGCACCCGCCACAGCCCATCCATCCAACACCATCAGCATCGGGAGGAGCGGGTGCAACAGTGCGAACAGCCCAAACTCTCCGTGCCAACATCCGCTGCTGGCGTGCCGCCGGTGGCGAGCCTAGTACTACTGACCGCCGCCAACGCCGAGATCAGCTCGCATGGAGAGATGCGTGATGGACAAGGGAGGTACATGGGTCCTGAGGCCGCGGACGCGATCGACGGAGATGCCGTGGTCGCGGAAATTGAGCGCCAGCTGTTGCCCGCCTCACAAAACCGCAGCGGGAGACCTAGTTCTAATCGCGGTTCGAGCCTAACGGAAACTCGATTGGGCTGCCACCAGCCGGGGCTGCGGAAGCCAGATGAGGAGCAGGAGGACGTGGATGGCGAGGCGTTCGGAAGGCAGGCCTGGCATGCGGAGCCGCGCCATCATCACCATCATCATGATCAGCAACAGCAGCAGCGACAGCAGCAGCAGGAGCAGCAGCAACAGCAGGAGCAGCGTCGGCAGCAGGCAGAGGAGCCCGTGGGGCGTCGGCAGGTGCAGAATGACCGGCAGGGGAGGCGTGAGCGCAGTCAGGGGGCCCGCGGGGTCTCTCGGCTCGGGGACATCAAGCCGGAGGGCAAGGGAGTGGGGGGCCTAGAGCGGGGAGCGGGGCGCCCTTCTTCCCCCCCGGACAGCTCAGGCGACACCCAGCGCTTGGCCGCGAGGCTGCGCGCCTTGGAGACTGCTTTACAGACTGCCCAAGCGTTGGCGCGGCTCGCACCGGTGACCTCAGACCCCGCACCGTTGCCATCGTCCGCGGCGGCGCGGCCGCGGGTTCCGGATCCGTTGCCGCCGTCGTCAGCTTCGCAGCGTCTAGCTGTGGGCTGCCTGGCAGAGGCCTCCAGGCTACTGAAAGACGCCATGGGCTGGTCGAAGCGGCTTAAGCGCGTCGGCAGTGGCGATGGTGGGGCTATTCTTTTGGAGCAGGTGGTGTATCCGTCCATTGCGAACGTGGAGGAGCTGGCGGTGGCGCAGCTGACGGCATCGGTGCTGGCGGCTGCGCCCCCGCCGCTGCCGCCGCCGTCTCCAGCACACACGGCGGGTGCGGCGGCGAACATGGCCGAAGCGGCGGCGACGGGAGAGTCTAGCCGGGGGCAGAAACCGGTAGCGGCAGCGGCGACGGCAATGGAGGTGGCGCGGAGTGACGTCGCGGCGGAGCATGCGCCTGTGCCACTATTTCCTGCGCCGGCTCCGCCAGCACCCGCTGTTAGCCCACTGCTGCTGGTGAGGGGTGGTTGGGGCGGATGGCTGCCTGTGGTGGTGTCATTGGCAGTCTCCTGCGGCTCCCTGTCGTACATACACCTGCATACATATTGCCCCCTTACTGGTCTGCTCCGAAACCACCCATCTCTTTGCCTCTTCCTCTTCCCACCACCTTATCACCTCTCAAGGTCCATGCTACTTGCAAAAATACAGAATTCCTGTAAACACACACGCTTTGCGCTTCGCGGCTAGCCATCGCGGTTTCCTTCATGTCCTTGGCTCGGGTGAGAAGCCCCTAAGAGCCCCCACATCCCTCATATCCCTCATATCCCTCAACCTCCGCCCCGAGATGATGGATTGCATCGGCGGCGGCGATCCATCGCGCTGACCGAAGATCCCTGCGCACGTCGTCAGTTCGAGGTCTTGACTGCGTTTTGCCTCCGGCACGTTATGGTGTCCTAATTAAGCCCTGCCCTGTTGAACCCACAACCACACAAACCCACCCTCCTCGTCGCCACACCATCGGAACCGCCGCGCCTTTCCTATCCCATGTACATCTCCTCTTCCTCACTGCCCGCATCCTTACCACTCCAATTCGATCCACCCTCCCTATTTGGAATGGACTATGTACTATCTGATAGGACTCCATTCACTCCCACAATCCTTTCGCCGCCCGGTGTGTTGTTTTTGTCGCTCTGGTCTCGTCACTCAAACCCAGGCCGCTCAGACTCTGGGCTCTGCGAGGATGGCAATGTCCAGGTTGAAGCGCCGGCTGCACATCAGCTTGGACGACAACGTGCAAGTCAACACACGGAGACGGGAGGCGCTGCAGGTGCGTGTGTACGTGTGTGTGCGTACGTGCGTATGCACGTGTACGTGTGTCTATGCTCCTGAGCGGTCTATGCTCCCGTGGGCTACCCCCGGGTTCACCACTGTTTACTTGTCTGACTGCCATTGGGTCCACCGGTGGGAGGAAGGGGAGGAGATGCTTGCGCTGGGTACGCAGGGGCACGTGCGTACTGCTTTGCGAAGGGTAGGCCTGTGAGCTTTGGCCAGCAGTTTTCGGAGGGTTTCCAGCGGCGCCGTGGTCCGAGAAACACGCTGTTCAGTCACGCACCGCGCATCTGTATGTCTGTATGTATGCATGACGCTACTGCCGCTGCTGCCGCGTTCGTAGGCGTCCTTGGAGCAGCGCATTTTAGAACTCGCGCCTCAAGTCATGGCAGCATGGACCTCGGCCATGGATGTGACGCGCCCTGCGCAACAGCAGGCCCCCGTACAGCGGGGGCCGTCACAAGGCGGCATATTTCCTCTGCGGGCCGGCGTGGAAGAGTTGGCGCCGTGTGCGAGTTCGCCGGCTCAGGATCCGCCCTCCACACCGCCACCGCCGCGTCTACCTGATTCGCCAGCGACCCATGGGTCCCCAGGGAAGCAGGTGGAGGACAGAGAGGGCATCTGGGACAGTGGTGAAGTGGACAGTAAGGCCAGGGAAGGCACAGGAGAAAGCGGCGGAACCGGCGGCGGCAGTGGTAATGAGGCCGGCGGCAGCGGCCCCGATCTCATTGCTGTCGACGGCAGCGGCAGTCGGAGAGAAGTTCGCGACGCTGAGGGCGATAGCTGCAGCGGTGGCGTTATTAGCGGTGGTAAGGAGGGCGGAGACGGATCCAGGCAGCGACGGGGCGACGGAGGCAATGGCACAAGCGGCCGCAGCCATGCGGGTAACTGCCGTACCAGCGGCGGCGTCGCTTCCTTCCGCGGGCCACAAACACCGTGTCCTCAATGGTCCGCAGAGCAGCAGGTACGGGAAAATGACTACTACTATGTCTTCGTATTTTTTTTAAAACAGTAAGAGAGCTGTGGTGTGACACTTCATTTTATTTGTGATTTTTTAGAGAGCGCTGGCCGCGCTGCACGTGCATCGCAGGAGCAGCTGCTTGCGTTAGTCTTGGTCCATGAAATTCTTCCCTTCATCGCCCCCGGGGCCGTTTGATGGTCCTCAGCGACTGTTTACTTGCTGCTGGTACTGCAGGACATTGCAGCCGCGGCCTCTCGCCTCCTCGTGGCAAGCGTCGGCCTTTATAAGGACCATCGGAAAGTTGATAAAAATGGTCCAGGCACCCGGGCTAGCAGTAGAAGAAGCAACAGCCGAAGCAGCCCCGTTCGCAACGCCGCCGCTGCAACCGGCGCCGCCAGCACAGGCCGCAGCTATCCCGGCAGCCATCCTGGCCACTCAGCGGACGCTGACGGCGGCTGTAGCAGCGTGCTGACGCCGTTGCAGACCGCCGCGACGCAGCTGCTACCCGCCATGAGGCCCAAGGACGCCGTCGCGACGTTGGAAGTGCTGCGGCGGGTGAAGCTGCCGCCGTCGGCGGTACCGCCCCTGGAGCTGCACGCCGCCGGGCAGGGCCTTATCCGCGGTGTCGCGGAGCTGTCCGACTCGGAGCTGCTGACGGCGGTAGCGGTGACGGCGTGGGTGGTGGCGGAGCACAGGCCGCCGTACGGCCGCATGGCCGACGGCCAGCGGCCGGTGCCGCCGGTGCAGGGCGCATGCTGGCCGTGGTACTGCCGCTCCACCGCTGCAGCCGCTGTACGATCGCCGCCATCGCCGCGGGGGCTTCAGGGTCCGCCGGTGGACGTGGTTACCGCCTTGGGCGATGAGCTCGTGGCGCGGGAGCGGTTGCGCAGAACGGCGGCCGCCGCCGCCGCTGCAGCAGCGACCGGCGCCGCTGCCGCAACAACTGCGGGTCGAGGCGGCATGGATGAGGCGACAGTGGAATCTGCTGCCTCGACGCCGCTGGGGACGGCTGCAGCGGCCGCAACTCCGGACGGCGGCCGCAACTTCGGAAGGGTGCCGACGACGACGACGACGGCGGAAGCGGCGGTTACGCGGCTCGAGGTTGAGGGCGTTGAGGACGTTGACGAGGCGACCTCTTTATCACCAGCACGGGCGGGTGAATGTCTCCCAGCCGCCGCCGGCGCTGCCGCCGCCAACCCCATGTTGACTGCGCTACGCATGCTTCACAGGGGTGGTATCACCCACCCGCGTCTAGCACTGGCGGTGCTGGGAGTTCTTCCGGACCGAGACCGCTACGGAGGCGGTGGTGATAGCGGTGCGGAGGCCGAGCATGGAGCACCAGCGGCAGCGGCGCCCGTGGCAGGCACTTCCCTGCCGGCGCTGCTTGCCGTACGGGAGATGTTGTCGGAGGGGATGCTGAGCCCGGAGCAAGTGGTGGAGTTGGTTCAGGTAGCGGCGAAGCATATTCCCCTCCCGCCGTCGCCGCCGCCGCCGTTACCGCCGCCCACGCCGCCGTCGCCAGGGCGGGTGCAAATTTCTCCGCCGCAAGCAGCGGCGGCGGCGGCGGCAGTGGCGCGCGCGCCGGTGCGCCAGGTCTCGCGTGGCCAAGCCACAGAGGGCGCTACCACTGACGGGCGCGCTGTCGCCGCCGGGGCGGCGACGGCAACGACGGCAACGACGGCGAAGGCCGTTGATCTCGTGCTTTTCCTTCGGAGCTGGCTTCTGGACGTGTTTCGGGACTCGGGTGGCACGGAGCCTCCGCCGCTTGCGCTTTCCATCAAGGCGCTCCAGGTATGGCGTGCTTCAGGTGCTCGGCGTTCTGAATTCTCCGTACGTCCATAGATACGTCCGCCGGGGGGAGATCATGGGGGCCAGGAAGCCCACCGCCCGCGGGCTTGAGGCTTCGGCTTTGTCGCTCTCTTCCTTCTCTTGCGTGTCGCGCTCCTCCTCTTGCTCTTCTCGGAGTTACGGGAGGGCACGGAAACACAATTGTGACTGCTTGACGAAACACGCCACGACACAACTTTTAATGTTTGTAACGGCAGCAGTAGCAGCAGCAACAGCCTGTGCGGTAGTTGGAATGGTAGAGCTCCCATGGTGGATGTGGGGTCCTGCTACTGCCTAACTAATACAACCTTGACGGCCGTCCTCCTCCTCGTCCTCGTCCTCCTCATCATCATCTTCCTCCAGGAGGTCAGCGCCAGGCCGCTCACTGCTGAGAGCCTCCGGGTCTTGGGCCCCGAAACCACGGTGGAGTACCAGGTACGACTGGTCAACGCCGTACGTAACGGTTTGATGAGGGAGTTACGTGGGGTTGAGCAGCAGCATGTGGGCTACGTCGGCAAGGCCAGGTCCGGAGCTGCCGAGGATGATGCCGTACAGGAAGCGGAGGGCAGTAGCAGGGCCGTGGGAAGCGGTGATGGCGGCCGCGGCGGCGGCGTTGATGCCGCCGCTGCCGGCTGCAGCAATCTCAGCAACGGCACCAGGGATGGGGTCGTGTGGGATGGGCGCTATCGCAGGACGCTGCAGTCTACGGTAGCGGTGATGGAGTCAGCCGTTGACCTCATCAAGCTGAGCAGAGAGCACACCGCGGCCGCGGCAACGCTGATGGCAACCGCCGCCGCGGCTGTAGAGGACCTGCTGCCGTACGCTCCCGCAGCGGCGGCGGCACCGGGTGAGCTGACCAGCCAGCGGGCGGCGGCTCTGGCAGCACGCCTTGTCGTGGCACGGCGGTCGTACGCAGCCGCGCTGGGAGACGCTGACAGCGGAGCCGAGGCGGCTGCGCATCCGCCGCCGCCGCCGCTGCCGTACGGTGCGGCGGTGTCGCCGGCGGCTGTCCTGGATCAGCTGTCCCAGGTTTCCCGCTCCGCCGTACGTTTCCTGCTGCTTCCCATGGATGACGCCGTGTTTCTCTCTGAGCTGGAACGCCATCCGGAGCTGTTGTGGGCTAGTGGAGATGAGGCTCTGCCAGTACGGCAGGCGCTGCCGCCGCCACCTCGGCCGCAGGGCTTGCCGGCGGCGGTGGAGCCGGCGGCAGCGGGGATGGAGGAGATAAAGCTGTTCTCGCCTCCACAGCAGCCCTGTGAAGGGAAAGGAGGGCTCGGTCTCAGCTTAGCGGAGACCAGCTCCGGAACCGGGGCCTCAGCCGCCGCCAGCACCGCCGCCGATGACGGGTTTGAGCTGTTGCAATCCGCCTACCGGACGGCAAGCGGCAACGGACGTTCGGAAGTGGCGGTAGAGGAGCCGGCGGCGGGGGCGGGGGCGGGGGCGGAGGCGGAGGCAGCGGCTTCGCCGCCGCAACCGCTACGGCGGCCATCTTCCGCCGGCGGCCCCGGCGATGCCTCCCCCGCCTCGCAGCCCGCCGCCGACGATGCATTGTGGCGTACCCCTGCTTTGCCTCTGTCTACCTCCCCGCATCTGCTGGGCCGCCTGCCGCGGATACGGTCCTTGGAGCCCGCACAGCGGGAAATTAACATGCG